TGGCTCAACAGGGCAGGAGTGACAGGAGATTGAGGGGGAATAAGCCCTGTCCCTCATATCCACCTAATACACATTTCACAGATAAGGAGCGTGGCAATGGAAACCACAAATGCAAGAATGGTTCCTCTAAAGATTCTGATGCATCAGAAAACACAACACACTTTAAGAATGGTAACAGCTGGATATTTTAAGAAATAATAGCATGCTTCTGCTTTTGTCTTTCCTTTATTTCACGGTAATTTTGTTTCATCTGAATTCTCACTCTGGGGCTGTGTTGGGGGATTTTGAATCTGCAGGTTGAATGCCATCCTTATCGGAACCAAAGCAAGCTGCTGGCCTTCTGCAAATCAAACAATATCCTCCTGGAAGGATATAGTGTCCTGGGATCCCAAAGGGACCCAAGATGGTAAGAGATGAAGCCAAAATGTTTGGGGACCACCTCAGGCACCACCTAGGCCCACTATTCCCCAGCATCCAGATCAGCTCTGAAGGTTGCATTCTGGGTCCCACAATTAATAAAGATCCTCATCGTGGATACCAGCACCAGGGCCTTTTATGTAGTGGCCCCACATTTTGCAAAATCATTCCACAAAGAGATCTACAAAGCTCTTCCCCTCCCATTTTAGACATTCTCAGAAACCTTCCCACTTTCTCCCAAACGTATGTTTTTAAATGTTGCAGGCAAGGGGCCATTTAATAATTCCTGCATGTGAAATTTTGTGCTGTTTTTAAATCACATTTATATTATGTTTAACAGTGCTTTAAGCAGTAGAATGGCAGGGATGAAAGGGCCTTGCACCCGGCCTTGCATTTCAATAATTATAGCATTTCTCTTTTTGCATAGCCTCTTCCCTATGTTTCAGAATTTTGAGTTCTTTAATTTTCATCTGTATTGGAAGCCCCTCTAATGATTATTTTTCACAAGTGGGACCAGCAACAAAACTTTGCAATACTGAGTCCTCCTGTTCTGGCTTCAGTCCAGTGAGCCGTGCCTTCTTCCAGGACACTCCATTACATTTCACCTCCCTCCCCAATGCTCCATATTTTCTCTCCAACAGGTACTCGGGATTCTTTATACACTGAGCAGACACCATCCCCATTGGCCTGTTGGGGCTTTGCTTTTCTTTCTTAGTTTTTTCCCCCTAAGTACATTTCTGTACTTATGAAAAGCTTGGGGTTCCCTCAAGCCTGCTGAGACACTTCTTTTGTTTATGTATAGTACCACTCAGACTGTGATTTATGGTGGAGAACGGGATGATAAAAAATTATATTAATTCACATCAACCAAGCAAGCAAGCAAACAAACAAACAACAGTTAAATGCAACATATTTACTTAGATTTATATACTGCCCCTCATCACCACCCATCTGAGGGAGTCTATTCCATTGTTGAACAGCTCTTACAGCCAGAATGTTCTTCCTAATTTTTAGTCAGAATCTCCTTTCTTGTAATTTGAATCCATTGATTTAGATCCTACCCTCTGAAGCAATAAAAAACTAGCGAGCTCCATCTTCCATGAGGCAGCCCTTCTGATATTTAAAGATGGTTACCACATCACCTGTCCGTCTACCCTTCTCCATGCTAAACATTCTTAGCTCCTTCAACCATTCCTCATGTGGCTCAGGTTCCAGATATTTTATCATTTTGTTTGCCCTCCTCTGGAAATGTTCCAGCTTGTCAATATCCTTCTTAAACTGTGGAGTCCAGAACTGGACACAGTATTCCAGGTGAAGTCTGACCAATGTATAATAGAGTGCTGCTATTACTTCCCTTGATGGGAACACTATACTTCTGCTGATGCAGCCTAGAATAGCATTAGCTTCTCTTCCTGCTGCATCACACTGTGAGTCATTTTAAGCTTGTGGTCTCCAAAGACCCCTAGATCCTCTTCATATATACTGCTGTCAAGCCAAGTGTCCCCCATCCTATATTTGTGCATCTTGACACCAGAAACACACCTTCTCTCCTTATTTCTCTCCAACAGGTGCAATACAGACATTCCTCCCCTGCTTGAAGACCCTCTGTTGGTTGCAATCGCCAAGAAGTACAACAAAACCCCAGCTCTTGTGGCTATTCGCTACCAACTGCAGCGCGGCCTGGTGGTCCTAGTGAAGACCTATACCAGAAAGCGAATTGAGGAAAACACCCAGGTAAAGCAGTAAATATTAATCCATTTAAAAACAATACCGAAAAAGCACGTGGTTTGGAAACTGTGATCTCATGGGTCACATGACTCATGCAAGAGTAAGGGAGCGAAGATGCACATCTTGGTTTGGGGACTCAAGAAGTTGGAGGAGTTTCCAGCAGTGGGTATTCAGAAGCATCACTGCCTCAGACCGTGAAGTCAGAGTGCAACCATAATGACTAGCTTCCATTGGTATTCTTATACACCATGAATTTGTCTAATGTTTAAAGCCATCCAAGTTAGTGGCTGTCACTATCTCGCATGGAAGCAAGTTCGGTAGTTTAGCTATGAACTGCATGAAGAACTTCCTTCACTGGACTATGACTTCCCTCATCCCTGGCCATTGGACATGATGGCGGAGACTGATGGGGAGTTGGAGTCCATCCACATCTGGGGGGCCACAGTTTCTCCACTCTTGTTCTATTGCAAACCTACATTACTATGCATATAACATTCCCTCAGTGGGAGGACATCTGGACAGAAGCTGTTGAATGAAGGAAATAAACTTTGGAAGGTGGTAGCAAAGTTCCCTTTGGTATCTCTGTGGCTGGAAAAAGGTGCACAGCTCTGAGGTGCAAAAAGAAGGCACGAGTAAAAACCACCTCAGCATTTTATTTTCTCCCCCTGACAGGCATTTACTTTCCAGCTGTCTGAGGAGGATATGAAATCCATTGATGGCCTTCACAAAAGCATGAGCTTCGTAAAAATGGATATGTAAGTCATATTTAAATAGTGTGCATATGGATACATAAAATGGGTTCACGTAAGAATTGATACTGCAAGAGCAAAAGGAAGAAAAGATCTGGCATCCATCTCTTCTCTTCATAGAGAATAAGGTGAAATTATAGAAGGAATTACTGTGGAGACTTTGTACCAAAGCCCCATTCATTGTTGGAGTGGGGTGCATTTTGAATTTTAGCCTCCCAGATAGTCAGCAGGGTGGGCATTTGGTGGCAAACTCGGGGGGCCTACAATGCACTGTGTGAAATGGTCTCATGAAGTAATGGCTGGCAACAGATCAATTTTTGTTGCTTGTGCATCTTCCAGCCCCTGAGTGTTGACTCTCTTTTCTTTTGTTTCAGATTTGCTGGTCACCCACAGTATTACACACCAGATGAGGAATAAGGATTTGTCTCCCATCTCCAATTTATCTCCTTCTGAACCTGGGTCCTTTTGCATGGAAAACATTTGTTCTAACCAGGGGCGGGCTAATCTGTCAGTATCAGTTCCTCCCAGCAATCCAGCGGCTCATTTTCCACACTTCAGTTACCCATATCTCCACATCAGTTTGGGATTTTTGAAAATCTCATGAAAATTCATCATTGTAAATTTCTCCTACCATACACATTTTTCTTTGTACTTTTGGCTAAAATAAAGCATGTTTGTATGGTGTTTTCACTGATATATGTTCTTTAATGCATACTTTACCCCAGTATATGCATTTTTGTAATGATTCTCTAGCTGAACAACTGCATCACACAATACAGAGAATTGCCACTTTCTCAGGATAACTGAGAAATTTCGATATGCATTTCGATTTGCATATTGGTTCAAGAAGTGTAAGCTGTGTAGTTTGTCATTAAAATGTGAAAAAAAATGAACTCCTCCTCCATCCCTAGTTCTCCCTAATGTGTCAAATAGCAGTTTCAAGGGGGGTGATTCATATATTGAAAATAGCACAAGCCGTGGGGGAGGATTAACATTCATAAAAAGAAGCAGCTGCATAGCCTGAGATTTATTGCCAAGATGATTTGAAATATCTTCAGAAAATAAGAAGAGCCTGCTGACTCAGGCCAGTGGCCCATCTAGTCCAGCAACCTGTTCTCACAGTGGCCAACCCGATATAATAATAATAATAATAATAATAATAATAATAATAATAATAAAAATTTATTTATACCCCGCCCATCTGGCTGGGTTTCTCCAGCCACTCTGGGCGGCTTCCAACGGAATATTAAAATACAATAACCTATTAAACATTAAAAGCTTCCCTAAACAGGGTTGTCTTCAGATGTCTTCTAAAAATCTGGTAGTTGTTTTTCTCTTTGACATCTGGTGGGAGGGCAGGACATGATGGGAAACTTCTAAGTTACAAAGTTGCTGCTTCCACTTCTGAGGAAGGGATGGGCAGGAATGACCATGGCTGGCTCTGTGGTCCTCTGGTCCTCTGCTGGCTGTGAGGAGTAAGGAGCACAGGGTTTCAATTGTCTGCCAGCTTGACCTGAAATGACTTCTGACCATGTTATACGCATGCATTTTATCCTCTGGAATCTGTAACAATATTCAAAATGTCCTTGCTGAAATCATTTGTTGCTACTTGCTGTCTCCCACTCAGCCCCTGCTTTCCACAACCCGAACCCTCCAGTAAAGGCTGAAGGCTGTGGACACTCTTCCTTTTAATCTGCATTCAGGCTGAGCACTGTGCACACGGCGCCATGTTCCACATCCTTTATCCATCCTAACATTTCTTATGGTGCATTGCTATGATTTGGAGCACTTTTAAAGCCTATGACCTCTCGAAAAGAATTCTGGGAACTGTAGTTTACCCCTCCCAAAGCTACCATTCCCAGCATCTTTAACAAATCTCAGTTCCCAGGATTCTTTGGGGAATATTGTGCACATCAAATGTGTTTTACATGTGCTGGCAAAGTGTACACAGCCAGAGGCAGTTTGGGATCTTATTTGTATGCTCCTTTCCTTCCTTACATCCTTTGTGTGTTCTTCTGGCCCTTGGAACACCCAGCTTCAGGCCTTCATAAAACAGCTTTTTTTTATCCTGTGAAAGCAATGCTGCTAAGTCAATAAGGAAACTGCTAGTGCACAAAGGACATTCTGCTGAACGTTACTGATAAAAGGTTGGCCATAGGTTTCCCCGCCCTTCTCTCTCATTTCTTCAGAGCATTTGCTTAGACAAGCCCCTCCTATCATGCCAACTGAAGACATTTTATTGGAAACACGAACTTCCTTTTTCTCACTCGAGTTTTTCCTTTCACCACAAGAGTGTTGATCAGTTTCAGCCTGCAGCCAAGAACTGAACAAGCACAGAAGCAGAAAATGGCACTTAGCAAAGACCGTGGCATTACAATGAATGATGGGAACAAAATCCCCATATTGGGTTTTGGAACATATACTCCGGACACTGTAAGTAACACATTTAACTCTCAGATTGTTGTAACTTGTTTTTGAAGAGCAAAATGCCTGCCAGCTTCTGGGTGCTTCATACATTGCAAAGCACCGCATGCGATACCTCCCCTGATCTGAGAAGCCAATTGTGCATGAGAACTTCTTGGGTCACAGCAGCCAAGAAAGCAACAGATGCCTTGCAGCACATAAAGCGCTGCTTCTCATTCAACAAGGGTCCTGAGCCAGCAGATTCAGGAGCAAATAATGTTTTGTGCAAGACTTGGATGGTTTGTAGCTGAGAAACAGTTTCCAGTGTGAATTGCTGCAGGATTCAAAGTCCCCAGTGCATAATGTCTAGTGATATTTTAATTTGACAGTGTAAGTGCCCTCTGTTAGTTTTGTTGGGAGTAATAATATTATCCAAAATAACCAAGCATTAGCTAACTATTTTGGACACTAACAATAAATATAGAATCAATTCTTTATCCAAACCATCTTCATTTGGTCCATATCACCAGCAACACAAATGAAAGTATCGGTGTCAATTCTTGTTTTATAATTAAATTAATTTCTAGGAATATCATGAATTTACCAAATAAAAGCTACCACTCAGGTTTTTCAAAGGAATTTTCCTTTTTCTATGTTTCCAATTCATATGTCTACTCCATTCACATATAAAGTGAGGGAAGAATCTATTTTATACAAAGAGATACATGCTGACGAAGAGACTTTCTCAGTGCCTTCTTGGATATCTTATCTATTTCACAAACACTTAAACTATTTTTAAAAAAGAGCGTTCTACAAACTGTATGTCTCAACAGAGTTCCACTGTTTGAACCAAAATAACTGACAAGTTAATTGATTGCTCGTTTAAAATCCTGCATGCCATTCGGTGGCACAATGTTACATTGCACATACAATACATATAAATCACTTTTTCTACACGTTTTTTCTAGCTGAGTCACTGGGATTCAGGTCTAGTTTGAAAATGTCCACCGACACTCAGTGTTACTTTGATATAAATTTCCCCACTGAAGCAGAGACCTTGACTAACTTTTTCACCTTTTCAACTGGCAGATTCAAAAAAGTAAGTGTGAGGAGGCTACAAAGACAGCAATAGAAGTCGGCTTCCGTCATATAGATGGCGCATATGTATACCAGACTGAGGAGGAAGTTGGGCGGGCCATTCATGCAAAGATTTCAGATGGAACAGTCAAAAGGGAAGACATTTTCTACACTGGAAAGGTGAGTTTGGTATTTTTTATTTTAAAGGGTAGAATATAGTGCCTGCATCATGATGCAATTGCATATTTCACAGAACTTATTTAACAAAATTGGAGCAAAATGCCTCTCCCTATATAAACCTACCCGGATTCTGTGTTCATCCTCTGAGGCTCGTCTTCGTGTGCCTCCTCCATGTGAGGCTCTGAGGGCGGCAAAACGAGAACGGGGCCTTTTTTGCATGGCTCCCCATTTGGGGAATGCTCTCTGCAGGGAAGTTCATTATACACCTCTAGGCGCCAGGAGAAAATGTTCACCTTTAATGAGGCCTTTGGCTTATTAATATTCTATACCCTTTTTAAACCTGTTTGTGGGAGGAGGGATTCCTGTTTTGTTGCTTCTGTTTTGACTATTTATTTGTGCTTTTATCTTGTGAACCACCCTGAGATCTTTTGATGAAGGGCAATATAGAAATTTAATAAATAAATAGTAAAAATATTATTTATAATCAATGAGGACTTTAAAATTGCTTTACCTCACCACAGCAATTCAAAATACTCTTCAGAACAATATTTGAGTGTGTCCTTAACACTGTGCACACCAGAATAGTCATCTGCTACAGCTAATTTGTCCCAAGACCCAAAAACTCTATGGCTGTGTGAAAATATAAATATCTTCATATTTTTGACAGCTTTGGAGTACCTTCCACCACCCTGAGCTGGTTCGAAAATGCTTAGAAGAATCGCTGAAGAAACTCCAGTTTGACTACATGGATCTGTTCATAATTCACAATCCGTATTCTATGAAGGTAAATAATTATTGATGTCATAATGAAGTATTGAGTATAATATTTAAATGTGTTGGGAGAGAGCCTGCTAAAAATATTTTATTCCCTGAAGGAACATTGGAAATCGTCATTTCCTAGAGATGCTGACAATTCTCTGCTAGAACATATCTTAATCAAATAATAATAATAATAATAATAAATTTTATTTATATCCCACCCTCCCCAGCCAAAGCCGGGCTCAGGGCGGCTAACAACAATCAAATAATCCAACATTCTAAAAACATTTCATTATAAGAATTAATTAAAATCAAATAGATGGCAATCATTAAACAAAAATTCTGTGCAGGTTGCCAGAGGAGGGAGTCAGGCTGCGCCCTCACCAAAGGCCTGGTGGAACAGCTCTGTCTTGCAGGCCCTGCGGAAAGATGTCAAGTCCCGCAGGGCCCTAGTCTCTTGTGACAGAGCGTTCCACCAGATTGGAGCCGCAGCCGAAAAAGCCCTGGCTCTAGTTGAGGCCAGCCTAACCTCTCTGAGGCCTGGGACCTTCAGGATGTTTTTATTTGCAGACCGTAAGTTCCTCTGTGGGACATACCAGGAGAGGCGGTCCTGTAGGTACGAGGGTCCTAAGCCGTATAGGGCTTTAAGGGTTAAAACCAGTACCTTAAATCTGATCCTGTACTCCACCGGGAGCCAGTGCAGCTGGTATAGTACCAGATGAATGTGATCTCGCAGCGAAGACCCCATAAGGAGTTTCGCCACGGCATTCTGCACCCGTTGGAGTTTCTGGGTCAGTCTCAAGGGCAGCCCCATGTAGAGCGAGTTACAATAATCCAGTCTGGAGGTGACCGTCGCGTGGATCACAGTGGCTAGGTCAGGGCGAGAGAGATAAGGAGCCAACTGCTTAGCTTGGCGGAAATAAAAAAATGCCGCCTTTGTTATAGCTGTAATCTGCGCCTCCATAAAGAGGGAGGTATTGAAGATTACACCCAAACTCTTAACGGACGGTGATGGCACTAATTGCACCCCCGCAAGAGATGGGAGTTGCCCCCTCAATCCCATATCGTCCCGTCCCAGCCAGAGGACCTCTGTCTTCGAAGGATTTAACTTCAACCGGCTCCCACGTAACCATCCAGCCACAGCTTCCAGACATCTGGTCAGTGTGCCTGGGGCCGAGTCAGGATGGCCATCCATCAACAGATAGAGTTGGGTGTCATCGGCATACTGATGGCAACCCAGCCCAAAACTCCGAACAAGCTGGGCGAGGGGGCGCATAAAGATGTTAAAAAGCATCGGGGAGAGAATCGCACCCTGAGGCACTCCACACACCAAGGAGTGGCGCGATGACAATTCCCCCCCAAGCGCCACCCTCTGTCCCTGACCAGAGAGAAACGAGCGCAGCCATTGAAGGACTGTGCCCTGGATCCCCACGTCGGCAAGGCGGTGGTCCAGGAGTTCGTAATCAACCATGTCGAAGGCTGCTGACAGGTCTAGAAGGATCAGCAGCCCCGACCCACCTCGATCCAGCTGCCTGCGGAGATCATCTGTTAGTGCAACCAGAGCCGTCTCGGTCCCATGACCAGAGCGGAAGCTGGACTGGAATGGATCCAGAGCCGATGTTTCATCCAGAAACCTGCCAATCTGTTCAGCAACTGCTCTCTCAATCACCTTACCCAGGAATGGAAGATTCAAAACCGGCCAGTAATTGGATAGATCTAAGGGATCTAATGATGTTTTATTTAAGAGCGGGCACACCACTGCCTCCTTCAGTTCCCCTGGGAATATCCCAAAGAATGATCGATCCCAGATTTTGGGGGAGAAACATGCCAGTTAAAGAAAACCTTTGCATATAATGTTTACATTAACCACATAGGCATCATACGGAAGAAATCATGTGCAGAGCAGGACTTGTCGAGGGAGCAAGGAAAGAAAAATGGGTTGGAGAGATGGGGAGACAGACCTGTGCTTGTTACTTGTGTTTCCCACAGATCCCTGCACTGTGATATCAACCTCTGCAAGGTGAACTCCCTTTTTTATCACTGTCCATTAGTATTAGATAGTGTTACAGAGATAAGAGAACTTCTAAGCCTGAAGTGCACTTATTCCCTCCGCCTCCTTCTTTTCCAGCCTGGACCAGATTTACTTCCCATGGGAGAAGACAAAAAAATTATTTTTAACAACGTAGATCTTCGGCAGACATGGGAGGTAGGTGCCTGGGATAAGGAAATCCAGCCCTTGAGTCATTCAGATACAGAGCACAGTAGCCTTGCACCAGAGGAGGCATGTCCAGAACAATGACTCACACAGTGGCTCCTATGAGAGCTGGTGAACTATAAGCCTCCAATCTTAATCTGGGGGGGGGGGGAGTGTGGTCCCAGCTATTCAACAAACACCACTCAACAAACATGTTGTGCTTTCTTTGCCAGGCAATGGAGGCGTGCAAAGATGCCGGCTTGGTGAGGTCCATCGGAGTGTCCAACTTCACCCGTAAGCAGCTGGAAATGATCCTGAACAAGCCAGGATTGAAATACAAGCCAGTGATAAACCAGGTCAAGTGTGATTGCTTTTTTAAGGGGTTTGCTCCAAGCATGTTTGAAAGCTTCTTTATTTAAGCTCTTTTGTGAGAGGACCTTTGTTTGGATGAACACAGCAATTCCCTGAAAAAACTTGCTTAAGGTTATAAGGTTGCAGACCAAGTCACAGTTGTGGGGTGGACTTCCCTAAATTCCAGGAACCAGTAATGGGTTCTCATTTAATTAAGACCTCTTAATCCTCAGACAGAAGAAAATATGGAGAAGTCCATAATGTTTGAAAAAGGCATCTCAGGTAGAAGGAGGTCTGCAAGCAGTCAGGGCCCACACAGCCTCTTGTGGGGACTCTGGAAGTTCTCAATTGGGGAACGAAGGGCTTTTGAGTTAGGCATCTGGGCAAAGCTGTTGCTCCCAAGCAGCCCTGATTCACTTGGGCACTGGTGTATATCATGCAACCAATGAGACCGAAGTTTTTTGAGAGCCTGATAAAGATGATATAGAGCAGGCTTCCTCAAACTCTGGCCCTTCCGGATGTTTTTGGCCTACAACTCCCATGATCCCTAGGTAGCAGGACCAGTGGTCAGGGATGATGGGAATTGTAGTCTCAAAACATCTGAAGGGCCAAGGTTGAGGAAGCCTGATATAGAGGCATCTGCTCAGCTTGATGGAAAGCCAGGCAAATCCTCCATCAGACCTTTCTGCTCAACGTAGAAAATTCAGAGATTAAGTGGGCAGAAATAGAGACACTGCAGGCAGGACAGTGTGCCCAGGATATTTCTTCTTTGGGTATAATGACTCAACAGGGCTGGAGTGACACGAGATTGTGGGGGAATAAGCCCTGTCCCCCATCTTCAACTAACACATATTTCACGGATGAGGAGCGTGGCAATGGAAACCACCAATGCAAGAATGGTCATCTAAAGATTCTGATAGATCAGAAAATAACACACACTTTAAGAAAAGTAACACTGGGATATTTCAAGAAATAATAGCATGGGTCTGCTTTTCTGTCTTTCCTTTATTTCACGGTATTCTTTGTTTCATCTGAATTCTCACTTTTGGGTTGTGTTGGGGGATTTTGAATCTGCAGGTTGAATGCCATCCTTATCGGAACCAAAGCAAGATGCTGGCCTTCTGCAAGTCAAACAATATCGCCCTGGAAGGATATAGTGTCCTGGGATCCCAAAGAGACCCAAAATGGTAAGAGATGAAGCCAAAACGTTTGGGGACCAGCTCAGGTACCACCTAGGCCCACTATTCCCCAGCATCTACACCAGCTCTTTAGTTTGCATTCTGGGCCCCACAATTAATAAAGAGCATCGTGGTGAATACCAGCACCAGGACCTTTTCTGTAGTGGCCCCACAATTGGGGAAATCATTCCACAGAGAGATGTACAAAGCTCTTCCCCTCCCATTTTAGACATTCTCAGAAACCTTCCCATTGCTGAAGTGGTTTTTTTATATATATAAATGCTTGACTTCTCCCAAACGTATGTTTTTAAATCTTGCGGGCAGGAAGCTATTTAATAATTTCTGCTTCTGAAATTTTGTGCTGTTTTTAAATCATATTTCTATTATGTTTAATGTTGCTTTAAACAGTAGAATGACAGAGATTAAAGGACCCTGTATCCAGGCTTACATTTACTGTAAACAATTATAGTATTTCTCTTTTTACATAGCTTGTTTCGTGTGTCTCAGAATTTTAAATTGTATTGTTTTTATCTATATTGGAAGCCACTTATTTTTGACAAGTGGGACCAGCAACAAATATTGAGTTCTCCTTCAAGACAATGAGCTGTTCATTCCTCCAGGATCCTCCATTTCATTCGAACATCAGCTCTCCAACAGGCACACAGGATTCTTTGGGCCTTTCTTTCCTGCCTTAGTTGTCCCCCTCCCCAATACTGACTGTACTTAAGCAAAGAAAAACCTCCCTTTTGTGCACCGATGCTACCATTTTGCCTACAGAATAATCCATGTGCAATGTATGATTTTGCGATTTATTGGTGGAGGGGATAGAGCACGATACTAAAAACTTATATTAGTTCAAATCCACTAACCAAGCTTTAAATACAAAATATTTAGTGTATTTTGCATGGACTAGGCCAATACTGTATTAATTTTAGAGTGAGATTTTTATATTCTGGACATCAGAAACACACCTTCTCTCCATGTTGCTTTCTGGCAGGATAGATCAAAACACTCCTGTGCTGCTTGAAGACCCTCTGTTAGTTGCGATCGCCAAGAAGTACAACAAAACCCCAGCTCTCGTGGCTATTCGCTACCAACTGCAGCGTGGCCTGGTGGTCCTGGTGAAGACCTACACCAGAAAGCGAATTGAGGAAAATGCCCAGGTAAAGCAGTATATATTTGTTGAATAGTGGGTAGACATGGCAGATGACACAGCGATTTCTCCAAAGCAGCTCTTTATTTTGTAAGCTGGAACAGAAACTGAACAGCAAACAGCTCAGCCGGCCTGCTTTTATAGGCAGCCGGCTGTCAACATTGTAGCAACAACAACCCAGGGTTTCCCGCCTAAAATAACTGACGTGGACCTGAGTGAAAACTATCTACAGTATCCCCCTGCTGGCCCAGGGTGAGAACTTCAGTACATAACAATATTAATCCATTTAAAAACAATACCGAAAAAGCAGGTCATTTGGACACTGTGATCTCACGGGCCACATGACACATGCAGGAGTACAGGAGCGAAGATGCACATCTTGGTTTGGGAACTCAAGAAGTTGGAGGAGTTTCCAGCAGTGGGTATTCAGAAGAATCACTGCCTCAGACCGTGAAGTCAGAGGGCAGCCATCATGACTAGCTTCCATTGGTATTCTTATCCACCATGAATTTGTCTAATGTTTAAAGCCATCCAAGTTGGTGGCTGTCACTGTTCAGTAGTTTAGCTATGAACTGCAAGAAGAAGTAGTGAACTACATTCGCTGGAGTATGACCTCCCTCATCCCTGACCATTGGACATGATGGCTGAGACTGATGGGGAGTTGGAGTCCATCCACATTTGGGGGGCCACAGTTTTCCCACTCCTGTTCTATTGCAAACCTACATTACTATGCATATAAAATTCCCTCAGTGGGAGGACATCTGGACTGAAGTTGTTGAATGAAGGAATTAAACTTTGGAAGGTGGTAGCAAAGTTCGCTTTGGTTTCTCTGTTGCTGGAAAACAGTGCACAGCTCTGAGGTTCAAAAAGAAGGCATGAGTAAAAACCACCTCAGCATTTTATTTTCTCCCCCTGACAGGCATTTACTTTCCAGCTCTCTGAGGAAGATATGAAATCCATTGATGGTCTTCACAAAAGCATGAGCTTTTTAAAAGCGGAAATGTAAGTCACATTCATATAGTAAGCATATAAATACATAAAAGTGGTTCACGCAAGAATTCACACTGCGAGAGCAAAAGGAAGACAAGATCTGGTATCCATCTCTTCTCTTCATAGAGAATAAGGTGAAATTATAGAAGGAATTACTGTGGAGACTTTGTACCAAAGCCCCATGCATTGTTGGAGGGGGTGCATTTTGAATTTCAGCCTCCCAGATATTCAGCAGGGTGGGCACTGTGTGAAATGGTCTCATGAAGTAATGCCTGGCAACAGATATATTTTTATTCCTTCTGCATCTTCCAGCCCCTGAGTGTTGGCTCTCTTTTCTTTTGTTTCAGATTTGCTGGTCACCCACAATATTATCCACCAGATGTGGAATAAGGACCCGTCCCCCATCTCCAATTTATCCCCTTCTGAACCTGGGTCCTTTTGCATGGAAAACATTGTTCTAACTAGGGGTGGGCAAATCTGTCAGTATCAATTCCTCCCAGCAACCCAGCATCTCATTTTCCACACTTCAGTTCCTCACATCTCCACATCAGTTTGGGAATTTTGAAAATCTCTTGAAAATTCATCATTGCAAATTTCTCCTACCATCCACAGTTTTCTTTGCACTTTTGGCTAAACTAAAGCATGTATTCTGTAACTGAACAACTGCATCACAAAATTCAGAGAATTGCCACTTTCTTTTGGATAACTGCATTTCGATTTGCATATTGGTTCAAGAAGTGTAAGCTGTGTAGTTTGTCATTAAAATGTGGAAAAAATTGAACTCCTCCTCCATCCCTAGTTCTCCCTAATGTGTCAAATAGCAGTTTGAAGGGGGGTGATTCGTATATTGAAAATAGCACAAGGGGGGAGGATTAACATTCATAAAAAGAAGCAGCTGCATAGCCTGAGATTTATTGCCAAGATGATTTGAAATAACTTCAGAAAATAAGAAGAGCCTGCTGAATCAGGCCAGTGGCCCATCTAGTCCAGCAACCTGTTCTCCCAGTGGCCAACCAGATGCCTGTGGGAAGCAGGACATGAGGGGAAACTTCTAAGTTACAAATTTGCTGCTTCCACTTCTGAGGAAGGGATGGGCAGGAATGACCATGGCTGGCTCTGAGTCCTCTGCTGGCTGTGAGGAGGAAAGAGAACTGGGTTTCGATTGTCTGCCACCATGACCTGAAATGACTTCTGACCATGTTATATGTATGCATTCTATCCTTCTCTAATCTGTGACAGGATTCAAAATGTCCTTGCTGAAATCATTTGTTGCTATTTGCTGTCTCCCACTCAGCCCCTGCTTTGCGTAACCTGAATCCTCCAGTAAAGGCTGAGGCTGTGGACACTCTTCCTTTTAATCTGCATTCAGGCTGAGCGTTGTGCACACGGCGCCACATTCCACTCCGAACACCCAGCTTCATTGGGTTAAAAAATGCCTCCACATATTTCATTTATTATTTTGTTTCTGAGCATATGTGTTTTCATTTCAATACTACAGCCTGAAGAAAAGGTCTGCATAGCTTTTAGGCTTGCTTTTCCTATGTTTAACATATACTAATCTAACAAAGAGGTGATGTTTCTTGATCAAAGATTGCAATAGGCCTCTGCATTCCTTTATTGGAATGCTGTTGTTGTTGTTGTTGTCAGACAGGTATTATTTATCCTCTGAAAGCGATACTACTAAGTCAACAATGTAAACTGTGGGGCATCAAAGGATATTCTGCTGAAAATTACTGGTAAAAATTTGACCATAGGTTTCCCCACCCTTCTTTCTCATTTCTTCAGGGCATTTGCTTAGACATTCCCCTCCTATCGTGCCAACAGAAGACATTTTATTGGAAACAGGAACTTCATTCTTCTCACTCAAGTTTTCTATTGAATTTTAAACAGATTGAGCTTTAATCGTCTTCAGACAACTGACAGGCAACCCATAGATTTTATGTAGAAATGCATTCAATTTTGCAAAAAAGCATTACCATTTAAACCTCTAGCATGAAGTCGTAACCTCATTAAAGAAAAGAAAGTACACAGCCTCTGCTGCATTATTTTCCGCATTCCTTAATTTCTTCTATGCTAATCTATTGTACAGTGGTACCTCGGGTTAAGTACTGTTAAGAAACTGTTGTTTTTTTTAATAATTTTTTATTGGTTTTTCAACATAGATTAAAGACAAAACAATACACAATACAAAAACAAACAATACATATAAACACGTATAATTTCAAAACCTCTTTTTCATAAACCCTACTTCCCCGACTTCCCCATGCCTCCCCTTTTCTGCATCCCTGTTTTAGAATTTCTTCAGCAACCCCTCGCATCAATTAACTGATTACTCATTTTCTTTTTTCCCCTTCTTCTCTTACTTAATCAATTGCAGCTGTAATTCTGTTTTTTCCTTTTCCCTTGACATTTTAGCACTCATTAATTTTACAACAGTTCTTAAGATATACTTTAAATTTCTTCCAATCTTCTTCCACCGTCTCTTTTCCTTGATCACGGATTCTGCCAGTCATCTCCGCCAGTCCCATATAGTCAATCACCTTCGTCTGCCACTCTTCCAGCGTGGGTAGTTCTTGTGTCTTCCAATACTTTGCTAAAAGAATCCTTGCTGCTGTGGTAGCATACATAAAAAATGTCCTATCCTTCCTTGACACCAATTGGCCGACCATGCCCAGGAGAAAAGCCTTTGGTTTCTTATAAAAGGTACATTTAAGGACCTGAAACTGTTCTTAACCTGAAGCACCACTTTAGCTAATGGGGCCTCCTGCTGCTGCTGCGCCGCCGGAGCACGATTTCTGTTCTCATCTTGAAGCAAAGTTCTTAACCTGAAGCACTATTTCTGGGTTAGCGGAGTCTGTAACCTGAAGCGTATGTAACCTGAAGCGTATGTAACCTGAGGTACCACTGTATCACAAACAAAAGGGAAATCACCAATCAAAGCTATTGGTGTTTCGGAGGGCACTGTGGTGAAAAGATAGCAAAAGGCAAGGAGATAGAAAAAAAACTGAGTCGTCTTCCTAAATCAACACAGGTAGGGAAGGATGGGATATATAATCCATCAGACTGCCAAATAAATCATCACAGGCCCGAAATCAGTATGTGGTAACCTAATTTCAGTGGATAGCTGGGTCTGGGAGCTACCATTTTTATTTCCCACAATGCAACTAGAAGTGATACTACTGAAGGGGGGCATTGTAGAGAATTAAAATGGCAGCTCTCCACCAAGCAGCCTTGACTGGAGCACTGTTGCCATTGCCAGCCACAACCACTTCACCTACATGAGTGGGAGCCCACCAGAGGACCCAGGCATCCTCTCAGGAGGTAACTGGAACTCAAATGTTAGTTACAGGTACTCTTTCATACAGAGTACACCACTGAAGCAGAGACTTTAACCAGCTTTTTACCTTTTTCAGCTGGCAAGCTAAAAGAACTAAGTCTGAGGAGGCTACAAAGATAGCAATAGAAGTCAGCTTCCACCATATTGATGGCGCCTATGAGTACAAGGCTGAGGAACAAGTTGGGCAATCCATTTGTGAGAAGATTTGCAGATGGAACAGTTAAAAGGGAAGACATTTTCTACAATGGAAAGGTAAATGAGTTGTTTTTTAATAATATTTTTAAATTAACTTTTCAAATTTTACAAATTCTTTTAAACAACCATCAAAACAAATCTCTCATGTCTGTTGACTTCCCATCCACCCTTCCATCATGCTCTTTTCTTACCTTATGAAGCTGCTGCATTTCTTATAGTATTAGAGCCTCAGCTTTCAGGATCTGTCCTTCCAGTGAGCACTCAGGGCTGATTTCCTTAAGAATGGATAGGTTTGATCTTCTTACAGTCCATGGGACTCTCAAATGTCTCCTCCAGCACCATAATTCAAAAGTATCACTTCTTCGGCAATCAGCCTTCTTTATGGTCCAGCTCTCACTTCCATACATCACTACAGTGGTACCTCTGGTTAAGAACTTAATTTGTTCCTGAGGTCTGTTCTTAACTGAAACTGTTCTTAACCTGAAGCACCACTTTATCTAATGGGGGCCTCCCGCTGCCACCATGCCACTGCTGCATGATTTCTGTTCTCATCCTGAAGCAAAGTTCTTAACCCGAGGTACTATTTCTAGGTTAGCGGAGTCTGTAACCTGAAGCGTCTGTAACCTGAAGCGTCTGTAACCTGAGGTACCACTGTACTGGGGAAACCCTAGCTTTGACTATACGGACCTTTGTCGGCAAGGTGATGTCTCTGCTTTTTAAGATGCTGTCTGTGTTTGTCAAAGGTTTGTCATCGTTTTTCTCTGAATTTACTTGTACTTGTCCTGCGTTCTTCCTCAGTAGCATGTTGGATACCTTCCGACCTGAGGGGTTCGTCTTCCAGCGTCATAACCTTTATATGCCTATTGTTTTTGTCCATGGAGTTTTATTGGCAGGGATACTAGAGTGGCTGGCCGGTTCCTGCTCCAGGTGGATCACATTTAGTCAAAACTTTCCACTATGACCTGTCCATCTTGGGTAGCCCTGCACGGCATAGCTCATAGCTTCTCTGAGTTATTCAAGCCCCTTCACCACAACAAGGCAGTGATCCATGAAGGAGACTTTAGCCATGATATATATTAATTATAAATTATTAAACTGCAATTCTCATCTGCTGCTTTATTTCAAATCGTGCATACATTTTAACATAACATTGCGGAAAGGTGAGTTTGAATTTTATTTCTTTTAGGAACAATTATCATTATCGAGGTGCATATTTCACAGGCATTATGTAACATAGAAAGGGCAATATGCTGGCTAAAAGATTGTAATAAATTAAAATATAAATCATTAGCAATAATATATGTGAATTTTGTTTTAAACATAATATTTTTATTCCTTTGCTTTTTTTGGCTATCAAGATACAACAGTTTTTTAAGGGTGCCTGAACGCTGCATAGGACAAAGCGTGTTCTCCTTCATGGAGAGCACGTGTTGCGGTGGGGGCCGCTAGGACACTCCAAAGTTGGGGGAGGGATAATTGATCGTTGCCACTGATGCGATTGGGGCTTCCCTTGTTGCTGGGAAGAAGTTAATGTTGCCATTTGTTGATTGACAGCCAGAAATGCTAAAACTTCTTACACAAGGCTAGGGCTTCCTCTTTTCGCCCGTGCATCGGATTGCCCGTCCCTCCCTCCCTAGAATAGGGTTGTTCGCTTTGACCTTGCTATGCCTGTCATGGGGTCATCTGCTTTGGGGCAGGGGCCCGGTAGGAATTTTGTCCATCTGGCTGATTGGCTGGGGCCATTTGGTTTTTGCCTACTGCGTAGCAAATCGTCACAACTTGTAAGGTTCGCGGTTAGGCATTGGTTTATGGTTTAGTTGGTTGAGGGGCATGGATAGGCTGTGCCTGCCCCTCTAATGCTGCTGCTGCAAGGGATTCTGTTAAAGGAATCGGGGGCTAACTATTGCTTGTCCACTCTGTCAAGGGGGCTCGGGCCATAGCAATGAGCTCCTGGTTGCATTTGAGGAGGGCTGAGGGCAGGTGTATTCCCCTTTTCTTACTTTCGCATCATGCGGAATGTCAGTCTGTCCCCCATGGTGGGGGCGGATAGTCGCAACAAATGCCTAAGAAACCACTCACAAATTTGTATTTTAATAAAGTTGTGGCCAAAATTATGCCAAAAAATCTTAAACAAAAATTCTGTGTGATGTGTGAGTTATTGGGGTGGCCCTGGGGACCTCGAAACGCAAATGCTTAAGTCCGCTCACCCCTCTGCTTTCCTTTATTGGAATGCAAAGAAGAACAAGAAGAACAGGAAC